GGCAAGCGCGTCATTGAGGTGACGGATATTGCCAAGCAATACAGACATTGGCCAGATGATGGTGGTCAGGTCGCTTGCAATTCTTGTTTCCTCAGTGGGATGACTATCTCTTCGTATCGGCCTCTCATGTGAGCGGAGGGCCGATTCCTTGACGGAACTGCCGGGGTCGATGGCGCTGCTTTAATGAACGGGAGGCGGCCGCCGTTTCTTCTGTAGAGTCGTATCATGGCGGCATTGAACGGGTAGCAGCAGCATGGCCCCTTGGTGTTTTCTCCCGTCTACTTGCTTTTGGCTGGGTAATTGGAGAGCAAACCCCTTATCAGGCGTCGTTGGGCGTCTAGTGCCAGCTAAAATTTGATGAGAGCGTGCCATCATGAATGGATAGATGGCAATGAGGATTTTGAGGCGCTGACCATGTGTGAATGAGACTGACTCAACAAGAGGAGCATTGGTAGAACGCTTGGGCTCCAACAAGGGAGACGCATGCAGAGGATGACGAATAAGACAAGGGCTAGCACTCCGATCAAAGTTGATCGAGACAGATGGATCCAGGCCCGTTCCCGTAAGACCATGTGGTTGATTCTAGATCTGAGGGTGTCAGATCTTGGTTGGTAAGTATTTCTGCTTGGTAAGAGAGCTAAAGGTCAATGATTACTTTTACAACTTCCCATACCTTCCGAGCAAAACTGGCCTCTATGATACACCTCTTGGTCCTCTGCCGTCTCGTCCGGCTTGGTGCTCATGGACGCGACGGCATCTCTGGTTAAAAGCAGCGGCGTATCCGTGGGCCCCGCGATGCCCCCACTTGGCACCATCTTGGCGGCAGTCGACGACCGGGGCCCCTTGCTGCTCAATTCCTTGTCTGGCTGGTCGAGGTTGCGTGGGAGATGGGCTGTGTGGGTGAAAAATTGGTTCAAGATGCCATGGCACGAGCCTCGAGTTGCGCTAAGAGACGCCCCCTCCGGAGAGACCAAATCTCGCGTCCATGAGGTTAAATCAACCTTATGCCGCCAGTCTCTGCGTCTTTCGTCTCTTGTTTCGTCATCACTCGACTTGTCCTCTCTCTGCTGGCTCGCTTACTGTTGTTGGTGAAGAGTCTAGAATTTCCACCTCCCTTGTCGCCTCAAGCTCAATCCTTACCACTGCCAAGACCGTTGTGGCGCCCCGTGGCGTCCTATCCCGGTTTAACAGGCGCTCCTGCCCTGTGACGACACTGGTTCAGGCCTGTGCCATTTTTGCGCCCGCCTGCCGGGTGCGCTTGCTTGGGTTGCTTCCCATCAACTTCAACCCCAGGAATTCTTCCCAGAGATTTCTTCCCTCCTACATCTCGCCCTCACCCCCCGACGCTCCTTCTTGTCCGTCGTTCTCTACCTGATCGGTCGTGAATGCCTCGCTTCTCTTTGAGACGAGTCGCGACTGCAATTGACCTCGGCGCTGCCGATTCCCGCGAAATCTCCCCATCACGATAACGTCGCCGCCGTCCCTCCGAGATCGCGAGACCAACCCGATTGTTGCGCCGAAAAGGCCACACATATAAACAACCTCCCGCCGACGACTAGAGCTGTCGCTCAACGTCTTTCACAATGGCGTGGAGTCACCTCGATATCACCAAACCTCATTTGGTGTACATCATCCTCGGCGGCTTCACCAGTTTGTTCATGCTTTGCTCCTCTGTTATCAAGGAGCGCATGTACATTGGTGAAGCTACAGTTGCCACCCTCTGCGGTGTCATCTTTGGTCCTCATGCCGCCAACCTTATCAACCCCAAGGAATGGGGAAGTGTTGACATCGTCACCGTTGAATTCTCCCGAATTGTCCTGGTCGTCCAGTGTTTCGCCGTCGGTGTCGAATTGCCCAAATTCTACATGGAGCGCCATTGGCGATCCGTCGTTCTGCTGCTCATCCCTGTCATGACCGTTGGCTGGCTTATTGTTAGCTTGGTTATCTGGTGGATGATCCCAGAGCTTGACTGGCTTGACGGTCTTGTTGTCGCTGCCTGCGTTACTGCTACTGATCCTGTCCTGGCCTCTTCGGTTGTCGGTAAGGGCAAGTTCGCAAAGCGTGTTCCCAAGCATCTTAGAGACTTGCTGTCGGCCGAGTCCGGCTGTAACGATGGCATGGCCTTCCCCTTTATCTACCTGTCCCTGTACCTCATCCAGTTCAAGCGGGATGCCCAGGACGTGAGCTTCCACTTTGTCGTCTATGTCATCTTGTACGAGTGTATCTTTGGCGCCATCTATGGTTTCGTCATTGGCTATATTGCTCGCCACGGTATCAAGTTCGCTGAAGAGCGTGATTTGATTGACCGAGAGAGTTTCCTCGTCTTTTACTTTGTCGTTGCGCTCTTCTGTGCCGGCTCTGGTAGTATCCTGGGCTTGGATGACTTGCTGGTAGGATTCGCGGCCGGTGTCGGTTTCTCCAACGACGGTTGGTTTGGCGAAAAGACCGAAGAGTCTCACGTTTCCAACGTTATCGATCTCTTGCTCAACTTGACTTACTTCGTCTACCTCGGCACTATCATTCCCTGGGAGGAGTTCAACAACGGTGTCTTTGGCGTCAAGGCTTGGCGTCTGGTTGTCATTGCCATCTTCGTCCTCTTTTTCCGCCGAATTCCAATTATGTTGGCTCTGAAACCATTTATACCGGACGTCAAAACTTGGCGAGAGGCACTTTTCGCAGGACATTTCGGTCCTATCGGTGTGGGTGCCATCTTTGTTGCTATTCTGGCCCGAGCCGAGCTTGAGCACGAAGAACCAGTACCCCTGTCTGAATTGCCGCCCGAGAACTCTCCTCATTATCATCTCATCTATCTGGTGTGGCCTATTGTCACTTTCCTGGTCGTCACCTCGATTCTGGTTCACGGATCTTCTATTGCCGTCTTTACTCTTGGAAAGCGCATCAACACCCTGAGTCTGACAATGTCTTACACAGCGGCCCCTGAAGATGGCCCATCTTGGATGAACAGACTCCCTCGAATCACATCCCAATCCAAGTCTCAGGCGAGGTCCGTGTCCGAGATGTCATTTGACGAGGAAAAGAACCCCCAGTATCCCCCCGGCACTCTGGCGCCTCCCGCTGGACCGTACAGCCACCTCTTGCGCAAGCAGCGAGATCAAGGCAGCGGAAGCAGATCTTCTTCAGTTGTTTCGCGGAAGCGGAAGCACAAGACTTGGGACGATGGTATTGGCCCAGGTGGTCCCATCGCTCAATCCGCCATTTTCCCTCAGCGTCAATCCACATCCCTCATGTCCCCTGCTGAACCTACTGAGCGTGAAGAGTCACCTTCACGCGAGAACACCGAGTCCACTCTGGCTGCTGAGGATAGTTCCAAGGATAGTGCCAAGGAGAAGGAGCCCGAGAGAATTGAGCAAGCAGAAGCTAGCCCCTCTGGAAGCAGCGGCCAGAAGACTCCACCAAGACCTGTCAACATCTACGACGAAGGCGATAATCTCGTGTTTGAGAGCCACGATGGTGAAGTCATCGATGTTCAACCTGTTCCCGAAGAGCACAAGAACGAAGGGCTTCCAACACCCGTTACTACTGCAAAGGCCGACGTTGATAAGCTGTGGACGATTTCTGGCTTCAAGAAGAAGATGGGCGAAGTCTACAATGTCGAAATGGAAAAGCGCAAGGACAAGGGCAAGGAGCGAAAGCATGAACCTGCTCGAGCTTATCAGTTTGGTAACACGGTATGTACCACTCCTATTGCTATAATGGCGCATTAGACTAACGAGCCGCAGATTATTGTTGAAGACGAGGATGGTGAGGTCGTCAAGACCTACGAGCTACCCTCTGGCAAGGGCGAGCAGACCGAAGCCGGTGCTAGCGGACCTTCTGAAGAAAAGGTGGCTGCCAAACCCGGTTGGGCCACCTTTGGAGGTAGATTCGGTGTTGCGAGCGGCGAGCAGTCTCGAAAGAAGTCTGTCGCGGAAACTCAGGCTGTTGACGACAAGCACATTCGCTTCACCATTGGCGGCGTGGGTCAGCGCATGACTAAGGAAGACTTTATTCGAGAGATGCAAAAGCTGGATTCTCGGACGAGGAAGGAAGTTGTGGATCAGTCGACCGCCTCCCAAACTGTCAAGAGGATCGCCACACAGGAGGTCCCAGACTCTAGCAAGGCCGCAGAGGTTTCTCCCGTACGGGGCGAACGACCCGCCGCTGGAGAGTCCAGCTCGCCTACTCGCCGTGGACGTCGACTCAGCACAAACAAGCCCTCGGAAGAACAGGGCGAGACAGCTGTTGAGCGAAAGCGCCGCCTGGCTGTCCTCGCGACCCAGGAAGACGAGGAAGCAGGAGAGACACCAGCTGAGCGACGACGGCGAGAGGCTGCTCTGGGCGTGGAACACGGCGAGGACAGTGATGATGAAGGTGGTGAGCGGGTCCCTCCGGAGCGCAGGGGCATTACATTTGCGGCATCTACACGGCCCGGAAAGAGCGCAAAGTAGAGGATTTCGTTATAGAGCTGAGTTAATTGCATGGTACATATAGAGACGAGAAGGAGATATCCAGTACGATACGACAGATTGCGGTGGAAACATAATGGCATGGCATGAGATATCACATAGCATCTGAAATCAAACTACATTGGCCGAGAGTACCATGATCCTGACGAATTTGAAGGTCTCGGAGCCCGGAGCTCGGACGGCATCGGATATGGCCACCGGTCCGGAGCGGCGGTTAAAGACCCACATTTTCATCCGGAGTTGCACTATGCAACAAAAGTCAAGATGAAAACTGTCAACATCATTCACGGAGCAAACATTGTTCCATGGCTTGATGGGATCTAGAAAGCCCATCTACGATTTAATACCAACAAACCATGAAATAGAAGTCAGAGTGAGATTTGATCACGTGAAACATCACGTGTGTTTCATTTTTACATACGAGGTCGTTGTGGCGTCAGCTATCAGCGTGGCTGGACGTTGCTCAAGTCTTTCATTCACTATACTTTCCACAGCCCCTTTTACAATGGCAATCCAGATCCAACGGTGGCATTGATGACTCTTCAGTTGTACATTCAATTGTCATCGCATCCCTCTCAATGGATGCTAGCGGACAGCAAGACTCGCCGCTGTCCATCAGCGCCAACATCGCAGGCATCCTGACCTTTGTGGTCGCAATCGTCGCAGCCATCTACGCCCGGCTCACGTACTTGCGCAACAGTGACGAAGAGTACTTCCGTGTCAAGACTTCTTTGTCATGGTACAAGACAGAATCAGCGTGGCTGGCAGACCTCGTGACTGCCATCAACGCTCAGCATGAGGGCTTTCATGCCTACCAGCCTGAATATCAGATGTACACCTTCGTTATGGAAGATCTCTTAAATCTTGAGCAGCGTCTGCTTGATCTGGTGGCTGAGACGGAGGCCAAAGCGAGCATTGGCGACGAAGGTCAGAGGTGGACACTGGTGCCGAGGAGTTGGCGCGGTGGCCGTACGACGGTTGCCATGGCCTGGTTACCGGTGCGGACAAAGGCGTTGGAGCTGGTGAGGCAGCGAGAGGGGTTGACAACCAGAGTCCAGTTTATGCAGACTAGCATGATCTCGTCGCGGTTGCGGGACCTGGAGTCAAGGACGAAATGGCGCGAGATGAAGATGGACGAGAGCTCACGTAAGCTGGAGGTTCTGGTTGAGAGCCAGAGGGATCGGATTCACCGGTTAGAGGAACTCGTGGGCCGATTAACGCACCATGACCAATCGAATCTTTCGCGCGTCGGGACCTTGACAAGCCAGGGAGTTAAAAGGAGCGAATCGATGGATTTATTTGAGGATGATGTTTCAACCACGGTAGGCGAGCCTGGGGAGGCGGTTCCCACAAGAAAATTGACCAAATAATAAAATTCGTAACTTATTTGATGCCGTATCCGTGCGTCCAGCCGTATCCAACTGCAATGAGCAAGCTGGTAAAAGCCCAGAGGAGGTCCAGTTCGATGACTGCCCAAAGCCACAGGCAGCCTACGGGCGGAGCCTGCTTCAGGACAGCAAGGTACCCGAACTCGTTGGTAATGTAGATGATATGGCAGCCGGCGGAAATGCTCATGGTGAAAAAGATGAGTTGGCGAAGAGGCTCTTGCCAGCCTCTCGGAACGAAGGGGACAAAGGTTGGGGCCGAGTAATGGGGGTGTAACACGTAGAAGAGGCCGATGAACACTGTGAAAGGAAGCTGTGTTAGCAAATATAACGTAAACATCACGACAGGCCAGTTTAAAGAGAACAGCCTGATCATGGTTGACCTACCGAGCCATGCGACAAGCGTCCGCTGGACGATTTGAATCCACAGAACCTCAATACCATACTGCCGCTGCACAAGCACATCAAAGGTAAAGTGCAGCATAGCCATCGACACGGTCCATAGAAGGGTCTCGAGAATCCGCTCAGCTCTAGGAGGTAGGACAGGCTCGTTATTGTCCACCTGGCGCTGTCGACGGTCGGCTTCGGCAAACAGGTCACGCTGCTTTGCAAAATCGAGGAGGGTCTGTTCGCTGGGACCGGAGCGATCGGGATGCGCATATTTGATGTCCTTGACGGACTTTTCCTTCTTTTCCTTGCGTTGACGAGCCATGGGTTGGGCAGATGCGAGAGATGGGTGGAAGACAAAGAAGGATTGTTGCTATGTTGAAGTGAAGCTTTCAAAGTCCTAGAAGACGTTGGAGATGCTAGCTCTTGACAAGTGCATCTGGACAAGTCAATTGATTTCCCTTGTGGGTTTAGCGTGTTTATCCATGGACCCCTGAGTCTCTCATGACATCAGGGTCTCCCATCCATCCCACTCCCGCTCTCGCGCCGGTGTCTTTCCAGGGGATCATGCGCTGAGTCGTAGCGCCTATCGACCACTCGGGGGTTAAGCAGCCCGCTAGCCGTTAGCAGGGCGGTCAGCTGCTAATCGCATTCCAGGGGTAGGTCGACTGAGCAAAAAGGTGGCATTTGCGACAGCCCTCGTGCCAGTTTCCCCTCCACGACGTCTTCACCTCCGATTCAACCTTTATCTTGCCTCGTGGCACATTCACCTTGCTTGTTGCTTGCTGTTGGGGGATTGAATAAGGGCTCGCTTTCAACAGTGACTTGCTATTATTCTTTCCTCTCAATCTCTTGATCCTAGCAAGGTAGCGACTGATCTGTTGCTTACAACCCCCGCGACACCAGCCACCAAGCCTCCAGATTTCTGTCGCGACCGATCAGACGAACCGACGAAGCTTCGCCAAGACCGCGCACGACCGAGTAGAACCCCGATTATACAGAATCGCATACGCTTGTGACCATGGACTTTCTCCTTATCCTCGCTGCGCTGGCGGTTATCCTCCCCGGCCTGTACATGTACCTGGCCAACGTCGCACAAACGAGCTGGCCAGCCCTCAAGAACAAGCGCATCTGTCTCTTGATTGCGCACCCGGACGACGAGGCCATGTTCTTTTCTCCTACGGTCCTGGCCCTCACGAGACCCGGCACGGGCAACCACGTAAAGATTCTATGTTTGAGCACTGGTATGAGCCGCCGACAGACACGCCCAGTCACCCCGATTACAAGCAGCGGGTAGAGAGGAGCAAGTTTTGGCTGATGGTTTTTTCTTTTCCCGCGCTGTATAGGGAACGCAGATGGACTAGGAGATGTTCGCAAGAAGGAACTGGTCAAGAGCGGCATGGCGCTGGGCTTGAGCGACGAGGATGATGTGTTTGTGGTGGACAACCCGTACGTCCAGACCCGTGCACCCTCCAGTGTCTCCTCGAAGGGATTGGAGAGGGCAAACAAGCTTCCCTTAAGCTGACGCAGTGTATCATCTTTTACAGGACCGACTTTCCCGACTCAATGACCAGAATGTGGGACAAGAACATGATTGCCGGCCTCCTCGGCAGCGCCTTTGCGCCCCAGTTCGGCCACCAGCGCGCCAACAACATGCAGCCCACAGCCAACATCGACGTGCTCATCACCTTTGACAGCTACGGCGTTTCTTCGCACCCCAACCACATCTCACTGTACCTCGGCGCGCGATCCTTCGTCCAAGCGCTGACCAACGAGTCGGCGTTCCCGAGCCCCGTCGACCTGTACACGCTCACCACGTTGGGCATTGCGCGCAAGTACTCGTCCTTCCTAGACGTCTTTGCGACGCTTCTATCTTGGAAGAGCGCCAAGGGCGAGGACAAGGCGCACCCCGAGTCTCTTGTCTTTATGAACCAGCTTGTCGGTGGTCATGCGTTCGGAACGGCCTGGCGCGCCATGACGGAGGCGCACAAGAGTCAGATGGTGTGGTTCCGCTACGGCTGGATCACTCTCAGCCGATACATGGTTATCAACGACCTGCGCCTGGAGAAGTTCAAGGAGCAGAAGTGAAGGGACTGAACAATGGCGTTGCATAGGCCTTGGCGTTTAGGACGCAGAATGGATATTTGACGGACCTGTACTCTATACCTGTATGAACCTAGGTAGGGATCTCAACGACGGAATGCTGGTTATGATACAGGTTGGATGTATGCTGAACTAGACTGTGTCATTGGTGCAGATGCTTCATGACGGCGTCAATTATACATATAGATTACATGCTTTTAAACTAACCAATGCTCCCCCAGATTACATTATTCGTATGGACACGTTGTCAATCCATGTAATCCAAACTCGTGAAATGTCATTAAGAATCGCTAAGTCGACTTGAGCGCTCCCTTTTGCATCACCTGCTTAAACACCTGGAGCGCAGTCTCTGGCTCTGTCACTCAAGTTAGTCCACCACAACTCATCAGATCCAATAACATGAACTCACGATAATAAGGCACCGAGTGGCCAGCTTCAAACACTTTTAGGAAAGCCAGGTTATCAACGACCTTGTATCTCCCGTGAACCTTGCCATTGACGGTGTAATTACGCAGCGCCGTCGCTGCAAACTTGGCCTGGCCGGGCCACTCGAGGGCGTCTGCTGCCCAGAGGTTACCCTCCCAGTTACAGATCCAATCTGTACAGTATCATATTAGTCACATCCACAGGATCACAGACTGTTACATACCTGTGTCACCGGCCCAGATAAGAGTGTTGATGCCACGCTTCACAACATCTGCTAGCGGCCCGAGAAACGAGCGTGCACCTACACAGTCAGTATCGCACAAAACATCACCAAGGAAATACTCACCATCTCCTGTAGTCTCCATGTTTGCGTACACTTCGTCACTGCACTCTGCAAACCGCGTCCTCGCGCCAATAGCCTCCATGACGTCCGCCCTCGTGATGTAGTCAACAAACGTCTCTGGTGGATCAACATCATCCCTCCCAATACGAACATCATAGACATTAAAGTCAACCCTGCTCGCAATGTTGAGGTTGACATACATCTGCTCATTGCAGACATAATCCGCCCTCGCGCATCCCTCATCCTGTCCCTCGGCCTTGGTGCAGTTCTCGTACGCGGGAAGACAGTAGTCGTCGTAAGCATCCAGGAAGCGGCCTATGAGCTCGTCGTTGAGGATCTGCTTGTACTTGTTCCTGTGTGCGTACGTGGCGTACGACTTGAACTGCATCTTGGGGTCGATCCAGCCGTTGTTGATGCCCAGCGCCACCATGTCGAGCTTATGGCCCTCGACAGTGCCGGCGTCGATAGCGTCGTTTTGCTTGAGAAAGTAATCTGCAAACTCGGGGCCATAATGACCGCCGTAGGATTGAGAAAACAATCCAAACTCCCGGGACTGATATTTGGGGAACCTGTCTAGGAAGACCTGCATAAACTTCCAGATGTAAGGGGCCGCGGTGATGGTTGAGTTAACATCCAGATCCCCAACGCTAAAGCCGGTGCCGATAGGCTGGTCGATGTATAGCATGTTGGCGTACTCGTTCCATGAATGAGGGTTTAGCGATGGCTCTGTCTGGTTGTTGACAAAGTGGCAGGGGCCGTGGTCCTGGAAGAGGCCGACCATGGAAGAACATCCGGGGCCGCCGTTGAGCCAGAGGACAAGAGGCGCATTGTTGGGATCGTTGCGAGCCTCGAAGAACCAAAACCACATGCTATGATTCTTACCTTGGCTATCGTCAGCATGGACAAGTCAAAAGTCACTGCCTCATCACGTACCAACCGAGAGGTATCCCGAGTGTTGGTCTACACCAGGCGTCGTCTCGCAGATTCCCGAATTGGAAACATATTCGAGCTCCGAGTCTGTGGCGGCATGTTTAAAGACCGTAAGCGTGGACGGCTGCTTTGTCCTAAACTGGAAGCTATCAGGAGTGATGCCCGAGAGGGCGTTGACAGAAGCAACGAAGCCCAGAAGAACCGTCGAGAACCGCATCGCGACTTGACTTTGTCTATTCAGAATAGAGAAGAAACAAGTTGACGAAACATCCCTCGACTCCCCAGCCCTCACGGACGACAAACAAGGCGATTCTTCTATTTATAAGACAATCTCCTCCTCCACGGCTATCAATAACACGTCCCGTTATGGAGACGGGGAACAATCCTCGTGTGGGACCAAAGAAACGAGATCCCGGTTACTCACCGTCATGGTCTCAGGCGACGCTGTTTCAATGCCATTAATCCTTCCAACGCACACCCCTGTTTGTCTGTCACGTCAGTGTCTCTGCAGTAGCCTTTTTTCTCCGAGCTGAACGGCGCTCGGACGGGATTGGATTCCCGCTATTTAATATAGAATAGATGCCGTTGCTTCAGGTGGCTCCTCAAGACATGCAGAAACAACTAGCTCTCCAATATATATTATTAGCTGTGGTTCCAGCCGAATGAGGAGGCATTTCTACACAGAGAATGCCACCCCTTCGCACCAGACCTCCTATCTCACCTCTCAAAGCGAATGCAACTCGAGACACACACATCGTTGGTCCTCATCTTCACTCACATGATCAAGGATCATCACCCCTGCCACAATCCTCGCACCTAAAAAGGGAAACAGACGGTTCCCGACTGGGTCCATGATCGACAGGGGTTTTTCCAGCTCGGGGCCAAGATCTTCACTATCGGATTGCACCCTTGAGAGGGGGCCGATGCTCTGTATGGACAATGATACGCAGCGGTTAATATCAACCTGCAGAGTTGTGACACGGGTACAGACTGCACGGTGTAACCTGGAAGTATCCGCCGAGTTTGGGACAAGGTTATTGATCACATCGGCGAATTAACAAGGGCGACTGTTTTCTGTGCAATCTCATTTGTGATATGGAGTACAAGACGTTGCCGTGATCCTTTAGTTCTAATTAGACGTGGCAGCTTGAAGGGTCTCATGTTGAACAAGAGACCCAACGGTACTGAAGGGGGTCAGCGTAATGCCCTTCATAGCATATACTTGGACTGTCAGTCTATATGGCAACATCCAGTGGAAAGAAGACTGGTTACGCCTGCATTATCTAGGTATGGCCGAGCACCGCCTCACGATCACAACAAGCGTGGCTCCTTACATGCCACCAATCTTGTGAGATATGAGATGCACCTCTAGCTAGCATCTCGAGTATGTAATCTCTCCAGTCTTTGTTACATCTTGGTCACGCAGCAGCTTCAGTAGATTTATTCACGCCCGTAAAGACTCGGCTTCCAAAAACAGTCGACAATAGACTCTCCAGCCACATTCCCGCTCCCCTCGACCGTCAAAGCCAGCTCCCCTCTCCCCTTCATATCACTCTCATGAAGCTCGTCACCTAATCCAGGTTTCTTCCGACCTCCGTCTGCATACTCGACATGTTCTCCGGTGACCTTGCGTACATACGTCCCCTCAAGGTGCCGAAACGACGCACAATTATGACAGTCGAGATGACAGAGTTTTCAGACAAACAAAGGAAACGCAATCGCGGAAAGGACGGTTGCAAGACTGTTCAGGTCAAGGACCAGAACATGCCAGCTTCGAGGGTGATACGATAAAGACCAGGGGGGGCGACGTTGCCTTTTGTTGCTCAGGAGGCTATTCACAAACATGAATTGTCCTTTGTGAATGGCCTCGTGGTCTCGGTATCAGACGTGATACAGCTCGGTCGACGGCATATGTTCACGCTTTTTTATGCAACCTCATCACTGTCACTCAACCTCGTGACCGTCATCAACCTCCATATATCTTCGCCTTGGAAACCTTGACCATCTACCTCCACGGTCCACATCAACGCAACCCTTGCACGACAATGTCCCCGTCTGAAAGCAAAAAAGTACCAGAACCTCCGGCCGACTCGGAGGTTCTGGACAAAGGAAGCGCCTCGAAGTCCAGCACGACTACTGGCAACAGTCGCGCAGAATCACAAGGCTTCACCACAAACGACACCGTCTGTCAGTGTGAGTGCGGATGCGATACTGCCGTTACCGGAGCGGCCGTCTGTGGATACTGTCACAAATTCTGTGCTTAGGTGCGACAGGATGGCTAAGGAGAGACCAGATAGGCTGCACAGAAGCTGTCTACAATGTTAAGCTCAAGTTACACTCAAGGAAGCGGTGGGAACTCATGTAGATAGCCGGAACTCTTAGATACCTCGACAGGGCCAGTCTTTCTAAAACACGCCAAGCCACTCTAGAAAGCAAACGTCAAGCAGCTCATGTCATAATGTCGTTGATTCAAAGTCAATGCTTATATCCTATCCATATGGTATATCCTCCCAATGCCTATATACATATATGTAATACCCATCCAAAACGCCAACAGCACACAAGTACACGCAAGATCTACTCCTTGCTACCAGACGGTTTAAAAGTGCACACTTCGCTTCTTCTTGATCTTCTTCTTCTTGTCCTCCTCCTTCCGGCCGCCAAAGAAGCCGCTGACACTCGCCGCCGCAGGGCCAGCGTAGGGTGCCGCTCCTGACAAGAGACCTCCAAGACCTTGACGCTTCCTGCCATCTCCGCTAGGACCTGGCTGGGCGTGTTGCGGCGGCGGCGCAAAGTAGTTTGCCTGAGGTGGGCTGTTGGGAGTAGGTCCAACGCTATTGGGTCTTGGAGGCAGACCAGGCGAAACATTCAGAGCTCCAGAGGCAAACTGAGGTCGTGGAGGCAATCGTGGTGACGTATTGGTCGGGCTCGTCTGGTTTGCAAAGTCCTGACCGTCCATGCCGTACTCACGACGCAAGCGCTCAGTCTCCTTGTCGATCTCGGCCTCTCTCCTCCGGCGTTCCTTGTCTTCATCCTCGAGCATCTTTTGGATCCTCTTGCGTTCGTTCTCCTCTTGCTGCTCACGCTCCCGAGTCTGTCTCTCTTCCTCGGCCACCATGGCCTTCAGTCTCTGGGTTTCAGCGTCAATCTCGGCTTTACGTTGGGCATCGTTGTTGGGCGCCTGCGCTTTGGGCGGCGATGACGGACGGTTGTTGCCAATAGCACCGGACATGGTTGGGCCAGCTGGAGGTCGGGAATCCTGGCGACGTCGGCCGCCAGACGAAGTGGACAAGTTGAATGGATCATGGCGCGGGTTAAGGTAGAGATCTCGGATGGTCTCAGCGCTCATGAGGAGGGCAATCTCAAGGCCCCTACGATCCTCAATCTCAACACGCGCCATGTTAGGCTCGTAGAGAGTCAAGGTCGAGTCGTGCTTTGCCCGGAAGAAAGCAACAGTGATATCGGGTTCCTTGCTCTTCTTTCCACCCACACTCTTTCCAGTCATATAACATGTCATATCCTTGCTCAAGCGACCATCGCGCTTCCAGCGAAAGACAATCTTGGGGACCAGCTCCGAAATGGTCGTCCGGTCTGCATCCTGGTCAATCTGGCTGGAACTGGGTAGCTTGAATGACCTCTCAGGAAGCTCAAACTCCCATTGGTTTGACTTTCCCCAACTTCCTTGATTCTGCTTGACCGGGACAGCCTGGTCGGGATTGTAGAGCGAGATGGAAAAGTTATCGGGGGTGACGGGAGTCTGGGGCGGCGGGTTCCCGTTCTGGGCGCGGACTTCTGCGGCTGACAGTGTGGGTTGGACCCAGTCAGGCTTCAGAAGGACTTCGCCGTAGAGCACCGAAGAGTTTAGGGAGTCGAGCAGGCCGATGGCGTATTGTCCGGAGGCATCGCTCGGAGAGGGCCGCTTGAGGAGATACTCGGGCGCGGGGTCGGATCCGTTCTGTGTGAAGTAGAGAAGGGTATTGAGGGGGTTCTCGGATGAGGGCTTGAATCGATATGTCGGAAGATTTTCGTCGAGCATGTTGCCGACTATGTCCTGTAATCAGGAACTCGGTAGGGGTCGATTCGTGTGGTTAGAGTTGAGCGCAGGGTTTTTGGCGGTTACAAAGCTCTGTACAGGATGATGTATGCTGTGGTACACGGATACGCAGAACAGATGAGAATGAGCGAGTGGATGTCTCAAAGATGGATGTTTAGAGAAATAGAAACGAAAAAGGACTCGCAGCTGATGGGATGTTTGAAGGTTTAAAAAAGGTGAAGCAGGCTGGCTGGAGGGCGGGGCAGAACAGGACAGGACAGGACAAGACAAGGCGTTCTTCTCTCAAGTCCTAAGCTGATGAATGCTTGGCTTGGCACACCACGAGGACAGACACAGGCTGCATATGGTGCTTTTGAGGTCACCTGGCTTTACAAAGGAGGGTTGTCGAACAAACTTGGAAATAGAACAAACCAAGAAATCTATAGAACTCTTCTTCTTCGTCTATAGATGACTCTTCAAGATCCCCTTCCTCTATATACTCTCCCCGTTATAGCCGTTCGCAGGCGCAAGATAGCCCCCGTAACGTCATGAACGTGCGCGTGAAGCTACGCCACACTCGACCCGTGAATGGGGCTGTGCATCGTGTCTGTCCTGGGCAGCTCGCCATTCGTTGCTATTCCCGTCCTTGATCCCTGTCGCTCGCTGTGGCTACGACGCGCGCCTCAGAAATGCGAAGTCGGCTTTGAATTGTCCGAAGGGGAAAGCCTTCAAGTGATCGTCCGGCTCTTGCAACGAACCAGCCAGAGACTGACGCGGACCTTCCAGACGGACTCTGTTAAGAGAAATGAGTCCGTTTGTGGCAAACGAGTAACGCGCGTCAAGATTATCGTGAGCCTCACTATCCGCGTCAGCCAGCTCAGCTCAGCCGGTGTATGTAGTTGAGGCATTTCAATGCAATGTCCATGTCATGGCATGTACATGACCCTTGTGCGAAGAACATCTTTCATTTCTCTATTCGTCTTTCTTCTAGACAAATCAACATGCAGAATCAACATCAGGCTCGCACTCTATCCATGCTGTCTTTTGATGCAGAACCCCCAATGCTGGAAAGAAACACGTCTCTGAACATGCTGAGACTTTGCCGACCCAGAAAAACACCCGCCCCGTCCCAAGAACGCCATTTACCCAATGCAAAACCCGAACCCATGCATCATGCCTTCTCATGTCATCTCTAACAGAGCTAGTTCGAAATACCCCTTCGTGTCTCTGTTCCCGTCATCGCTTCGTGCCGAGGCGTGCACTGATTCCCTCTCTTGGCGCCTGTTTATCCATTTCCTCGACTCTCATAAACACTTGACTTGGCCGCAGAAAACGTGGCGGTCGCCAAGTCTTCCATGTCTGGCACAGCTTCATTCCTTTTCCAAGTTTCAAAGGCCAGTTGCGTCGTTGCCTGTGCCTTGCGCCGAATCATTGCTGTTTGTGCGTAAATCGAAGATCGTCCTCCGTTCACGGAGCGCCAGTCAAGCGGGGATTCATGAGCACCTCCAACCTCCTGTCCACCTCATCAACTCGTGTCGCGGCATACCGCTATCTCGTCCCTTGTCGTTGTCTTCGTATCTGGGGTATCAATGTACAATGGATGTTTCGTTTCCAGACGTCTCTTCATCCAAGAGCATAAGCGTGTGGGCTAAGTAATCGCAAGCCGGCATGCTAGGCAGGCGGCACGCGACTCGCCGCATTCTCCTCCTCGTCAGAAGGGGGCGGGCCCCGACGTCGTCTTCGTCTTCGTTGTCGGTCTTGCGGCCTTGGCCTACAGCATGGGTACCAGCAGCATACGAAGCAAGCGACAATGAGACCGATAGCTAGGCCGATAAGAAAGCCGCGCATAATCTTTTCGCCATTTGATCCTCCTTTGGCGATGCCCATGAACTTATCACGGAACAAGTCGTTTGCGAATGAATCCGTAGGAACAAGACTGCCTGTTGTCCCCGCCGTTGAGGAAGAGTCCTCCTCAGGTGATGAGGAGTGCTCGCCTCGGGAAAGAAGCAGCAACATCGGTGAAGCGGGCATGGTGCCGAATAACGTAAAGCGGCAAGCAATGCTAGCCACCGACCGAGCTCAAAAAGGGAGCAGACGACTCGAGTTGGCGAGTAAGGTTAATAATTCTTTGTTCCTTAGCTGATCGTAAGACCCAAAGAAAAGTAGGTTGCGAGATCGCGGGAAACAATTGAGCGGGAGGCGTTGGGATGGTCCGGCCGATCCGAGGATGACCGGAGCGGCGACGGACTTTGAGATGGTGGTCTGGAGATCGGCAATAGGCGCAAACGAGAGTCCGCCTTACTCGGGTTTGGCCTTATTCGGAAGCTCGAGAGGAAGGTCGGTAGCGGAATGCAGAATAAAGTAACAACACCAGAAAATGCGACGATGAAGCAGTCTCAGGCAGTATCAACCACTCTCAATGTCGACACCGAAACACCACCGAAAACCCGGCGCAACACGGTTGTCAGCACGGCACGGGAACAAGGCGAGCGTAGATGCAGCGGCAACAAACTTCTCGACACGTAGATGTTGACGACGGCCTCATCCCGCAAAACAGGATATGCAAGACGAAGGAAGAGTAACACCTAATCTGTCAATAAAGGAAGTTGTAAGAGAAGAAAGGAAAAATCCGAGAGGTTGAAAAGTGGACAGACTACGATGGGGGTTGGGAAAATGGATGGAGGATCAAACCTCCCGCTAAAACGCTCAAGCAATCCAATCCAAGCAAGCAAGCATTGGATTCAGAGAGGCCCCTCACTGTTCCCATCCTCCTTCCCCAAAGAACCACCCAGTGAAGGGGAATCCTTGACCACGGGCAGGGAACAGCCATCCGGGGGCCTGTGTTCCGTCTCGTCTCTTCCACTCTGCTTCTCCCTCTGTCTCTGTTCCCCCTCCCCCTTGAGCCTGACTCTCTCTCCCTCCACGTTATGCTCACTCGTTTAGCCCCCCTCTTCTCTGTTGCTCCACGCCACGCCCGCCCGATCAGCGCGGATGCCAAGACAAATCCCCAAGTTGCCAAGACCACGACATGCGCTTCGCCGTGTTACCGCCGGGGGTGTTGATGCAAATGCGTTGGTGTGAGCGGGCTGCAAAGAAGGAAGGAATCCTGTGGCTGAGGTTTGAGTTGTAGATGAACAGCTGTCGAGGGCGTCAAGACCGCCATTCAGAATCACCGCTTCACCTCCAGACGCTCGAATTCGAAAATGGCGTCTTCGTTTTTACCTTGACCAACTTAAATCCCCGCCCCCGGTCTTCCGACCCTCTACCACGTCACTGCGAATTGCGGGCTTTTGGGTTGATGGTTGGTCGTCAGCGTCGTGGCGGTGCCTCCCCCGCAGCCGGAGACCGCGGGGTGGCTGATAGAGTTGCGACGGCGTCAGGGGAGAAGCGCGGGCAAGTCTCCGTCGGCTAAATGGCTCGGCCTCGACCATTCAAGCAGAGTCGTCTGACGAAGACATTGTTTTTGACTGGTGATGGGAACCCGGAACCGGGAATGGGGATTCACCTCAGATGTGCCCATGAAACCAATACAGATACATTCCACGCATCATTTGGTTGTCTACGACACTGACCCCGGTTAAATGCAGTTTGAAGCAACATGATAAGCTTAATTGAGCGCTTGTATCATCCAGGCTTTATTTCCAGCGGATTCGCAAGCTTATTTGTCCGACATTCAAGGCATAGGCTATAGAAGAGTGCGACAAGACTTGAAGCAACAAAGGTCGTATTTCGCTCCAAAACGGCTACACACCACAGGCAAGTCAAGTATATCAGGACAATGCGTCACATAATCCTTTGAGGAGACATACAAAGACATCGGGTCCACACAGTTTAGCACAGCCAAGTGCATGCGAAGTTGCGTTTAGATTAACCATACGGTTTGATGTTCATTTATTCGAGCTGTAACGCTCATTCACCATCAATCTCCAGCATTGAAGCATAGATATTATCTTTGTCCAATGGGCAGGTTACCTAGTATCACAAGGATGTACAATAAGGCTACGTGCAGGAGAGCCGCGCCAAGTCAAACGGAAGGAGGTGCCTTCCCATCAGGCTTCCCAATCAAGGGAGAATCTGACGGTCCCCTTCGCCAATGTACACGTGACGCAGATTCTCTCCTTTACAAATGAACTCGTTTCTTTTGCATTGCTTGCTTCTAAATCTAATTTATACTCGACTGTCAAACGTGGATCCTTTCCAGCTGTTGCCGTGCTCTATTTCCGTCTTGCCTTTTACGCCAGGCTGCCCGTATAGTGCTCGCGCCAGGTCTGTCTCTCCGCCTTGCCTACTTTGGCTGTTCTCTCGCACCTCTTCGATCACTCGAACTTCTGTATCCTTTCGGATACCATCGCCAGGAAGATACTCGTCGCTGCTGGCACCTTCTGTGATGATGGGATACTGGGAGAATGCGTCGCCATTCTTTCGCAACGTCCCCGACCCCGTCGTATTATCGGTATTTATATCGTCTAGTCGGATCGAGCCCGGTAGAGGATTCGTCGGTCGTTTCGAAGATCCGTACTTGCCGGAGAAACCCTTGGATATTTGCGACATGTATGATCCAAGAATGGGCGACAGCTGACGTCTAATGAATGGGAAAATCATGGGCAGGTTCGTTGTCACGACTGCCACAAACGTTTCTCGCACAGCCCAGGAACCAGCCTGCTGAGCGCCCGTCAATGGGTTCTGAGTTACCAGTTAGCGACATTCAAGAAGCTCAAGAGACAAGTCATACCGTCACGATCAAAACACATCGCAGAATACCAGCTGCAGTAACAAAGATGCCGCCAGAAAAGAGAAAGATCAGTCCAAGCTTCTTAGGCATTGGAAGCCGTGCTGACCAGAGCATCGGCACTGGAATCGACAGCAGGTATAAGTCGGTCGCCGCATTGAGCACAACCGTCACGAAGATGTCAATGTTCGAAATCGCTGGCTGGCAGTAATCTAATAACGGTCAGTGAACTGAATTCTCTAGAACAAAGACGGCACGTACTCCCGGGATCGGGGTAAATTTGCCAGTTCTTGTGGAACGGCTGACATCCCAGCAGGATAGACAACAGGACTGTGACCCAAGTCACAAAGATGAGCCCGAAGCCGATAAAGATCCTCGCCCGATAGTTGTCCAGACCCTCAGTGAGTCGCAGGTAGAAACTGCACATGGCCGCTTTGAGGACCCAGAGCAGGAATGTGTAGGTTGACCATCCTGCAATCTGTGTCTTGGACCCGTTGACTCGCAGCCTATACTCTTCGCTGCTCGGATCAAGGGCTTTTCTTTGTTCATCCGTCATGCCATTGTTGGCTAACCCATGCCAGAAAGCCCCAACGGAATATGCGAGTGCTGTTTCTATCGAGTATGCGATCTATATGCGGGCCATGTTAGACAACACTGAGACATTGGGAAGCAAGGCGGGGGTCCCGTACCGCGGCTACGACCATGAGATAGTCATCTGCCTCGAGTCTCCGAAATCCCACAGCAGAGATCCGAGCATACGATCGAAGGATGATGAAGCCCAAACCAATACCCAGCAGGGTGAACGCCTCAGTCGTGAAGCTATCCATCTTGGAGAAACCGATGGCAGAGTCACCCAGAGCGGAACGAGAAGAACGGAGCAGCTTGTCAACATGGGGGAAGGAAGAGGCTGCTTAAAGAAGAGAAATGCTTGGCAATATCCGGGCTCGTGGATAAGCTGCTGCAAGTTTGCCAGCCGAAACTCCACAAGTAAGAGGAACTCAACTTAGCGCCGGTGCCATATCCTTGGATATTTCACGCCAAAACACTCCGATGTTACTCCTTGACAGTCATGACTAGTTTGGGAAGAGTTCACGGAAGGGATGGAACGGCCATCTGCCCGGTTCGGCAGATGTCCCTGTTCTGAGATAAGTGAGTTGTGGAGTGTGCCGGCCATCCGTTTCAGGGCCACAAGCTGATCAATCCATCTCTAATTCTAGCTCCTTTTCTAGCCCATCTAGAGCGAGAGCGAAACCTTCACAGAGATGTCGCCAAGGGCCTGGAGCATGAGGAGGACGTGGCCAGCCAGGATAGCCCTGACTGACTAGCGGTTCCCCATGTGTTTGGAGAACTGATACTAGCTCTCACCAGTGGCCTCTCCGTTGAATTACTGACCAGACGCGGAAACCTCCTCCGCCCTCGGTCATTTGTGTCTCACCGGAGCCTATCCTCAATTTTCAGTCTCTTTCCATGATCTGAGCCGCACCATGTTGCCGATCCGCTAACGCCCCGGGCCGTTACGCCCCTTTTTGAACAAAGTTTTTCATAACCATTGACGAACAAAGTGACTTATCACAGATCAACATGAAGATCAGTGGCCACATCCAGGAGTACGGCAGGGGTTCCTGAGAAGGGTGCGGAATCAGAGCGCGCTCTTCCATGCAGAGCATGTGCCTGACTAGGGTTCTAGATAGCAACCTAACGACTGGCTTGCTTCTCGCAGAAGGCTAACGTCAGGAGTCAAAAGCCCGACTGGATGGAAACCCGAGGGGCTTCAGCCAGCATGGATAGTGGCGATGAATCAAGACTTGTCATCACTAACGGGGACATCGAGTCCTCGTGGTATTCCTCATTCGTCTTGTTGGCGCTCGATTTGTCAGGATCAGGGCCCGGCTATCTCCCTTCGAGGTCGCATTTGATTGTCGAGGCTGGAACCAGGGTCACCGGGTCCTGGCTAGGCGTTTCCTCGACAGGTGAGGCATGAAGCCTCGGGCTACGAAGACTACCGACAGCTCAGGCCTCAGCATGGTAAGCACTGGTCTCATGTGGGGATGGAAGGGCCGCCCTGATAGCCGTCCGTTCCATCGTCACATTGGCCTGGAGGTGGCTGCATAATGCAAGCTGCAGGTGAACGAGGCCTAGAAGTGGCTGAATCGCCGCCAAAGCAAACATTCCAACCCACCTTTGGGTCCTCCTATCACGGGAGAAAGGAGAGGGCCAGAACTTGACCTGTTAGATGCTGGCTGACAGTAGCTAGACCTTGACATTATCACATTTCTGCTCCCCTTTTACGACTGATAGTTACGCAGCCGACGTTGAACCGTTGGGCTAAAACAAGGGATGGTCCAAGAAGAGACGGCGTCTGACAACGCCGTTACCAATGGCCTCTAGCGCGAGAAGTGGTCCCGACGCGTTACTCATGTTCAACTTCAATTGACGCTGGAGATGAGTTGAATTCAAGTCCACGTCATGTCCAAGACTCGACAGGGCTCAGGGTCCAGGATTAAGGTGCTGCCAGAAGCGAGAGTGGCTTTTTCAGAAGGGCAAACAAGCTTGGCGCTGCATATGCTGATACATTACAAGGATGAAATTGTGTCAGTTGCGTCCTTTTTAGAGACATGCCCGGCCAAGGTTTCTCCTATGTCTGCAGTTCCTTGCCATTGGCGACAAACCAAGCATCAGGATCGTCGCGCAATGCAACACAAACGACGCCGTCTGCGGGGCCTCGCCAAAACACCACAGACAATATTGCTCCATCCTATCCCTTGCAGGACCCGTCAGTGCCGTCGCGGGATTCCTACCCGCGGGTGGAGCCGCAATATTCTCATCATTTCCAGGTGCCAAGCGGCTCTCGTCTGGATTCTGAAGATGGTTCAGTCCCACAACTACGGATTAGATGTCTGATAAGAACCCAACTGGCCGCAACTTGCCCTCAAATAGGTATCGCATCATCCCTCGCTTAATCCAGTTTGTTCAGCCTCAGCGCGTTAGCCAGGGGGCCGGCACACTAACGGTAGTGTCAACGGCGAGTTGAGGGCCGTCTCAAAGGACGCTACCGGGGACGGTAGCTCGGGTTCCGTCCGCCGGAGTGTTTGGAACCCCTGTCTTGTCCGGGCTATCGTTCCCGGCTAGAGAAACATGCTTGGCACTACTATCGGGCTGGCACTCTGGGGTGTGGCAGTCTTTCGTTGTCGTGCTGGATGCCCACGCATTCAGGGCAGGGCATGCATGACGCTGCTATGGGAGGAGCTAATAGTCGAGGGTCTCTCTTTCCCCCTCTCTTTTTAAAGATTGATCTGGTCCTTGCTCTGAGGCTAATGTGACCCTGAGTTCTTTTCCTAACTCTTCGAAGGAATTCACTTTGACCCGAGCGATCAGCAATGGAGACCCTTGATTTTGTTGTGATAGGCGCCGGTAAGCACGACAACTACTACTCAATCCCAAGTCAGTCCAAGAACTGTCAGCTAATTCGTTTCCAGGCTGGGCCGGTTTGGCCTCGGCGAAGACTCGCCATCAACTGCATCCTGAAGAATCGCTGGCAGTCCTCGACTCAAATGCAACAATTGGTGGCACTTGGTCGAAGCAACGTCTCTATCCTGGCCTCAAGAGCAACAACATGCTCGGAACCTACGAGTATCCTGACTTTCCCATGGACTCGGAAACGTTTGGGGTTCTGCCAGGCCAGCACATCCCCGGCACCGTGATCCATGAGTATCTCACCAAGTACGCCCAGAACTTTGACATCTTTGACAAGATCCGGTTCGAGCACAAGGTTGAGTCTGCTGAGCATCAGGAAGATGGCGGCTGGATCTTGACGGTACGAGATGTCAAGGCTGGTCGAGACGTTCAGCTGTTTGCCAAGAAGCTGGTTGTCGCCTCGGGTCTCACATCACAGGCTTTTCTACCACATTTTGAGGGCGAAGAGAAGTTTGGCGCTCCCATCTTCCACGGCAAGGACTTTGTTAACCACGCGGATACGCTTCAGACTGCCAAGTCTGTGACGGTATTTGGTGGTACAAAGACGGCATGGGATCTCGTGTATCAGTATGCCACCAAGGGGGTTGAGGTGAACTGGGTCATCCGCGGTAAGTATTGGCAGCACCAGGTTGGTCACGATACAACAACTAACAGGTTTAGAATCTGGTCACGGCCCCGTCTGGATGGCTCCTCCATATGTGACGCCTCTCAAGAAGTGGCTCGAGAAGCTTGCCCACACTCGCATGCTGACATGGTTCAGCCCATGCAGCTGGGGTGCCGCAGATGGGTATACCAAGACTCGCAACTTCTACCACGGCAGCTATGTCGGACGTGGTATCGTCAACAAGTTCTGGGACATTCTGGCCGGCGACGTCATGACGCTGAACCAGTACGACGCACACCCGGAGACAGCCAAGCTCAAGCCCTGGAGCCAAGCCATGTTTGTGGCGTCGAGCTTGTCCATCCTCAACTATGAAACCCCCTTCTTTGACCTGGTCAAGGACGGCAAGGTCAAGGTACATATTGCAGACATCACCAGTCTATCGGAGGGGACAGTGCATCTGTCGGACGGTACGGCACTACAGTCAGATGTCCTGTGCTGCTCGACAGGTTGGAAGCACGTTCCTCCTATCAAGTTCCTCCCTGAGGGCATATCAGAGGAGCTTGGCATCCCTCACACTCCTTCTCCCGAGTCATTCCCTCCCAAGTCGCTCGTGGACCAGATTGACGAGGAGATTATGGAACAGTTCCCCCGTCTCAAGGACCAGCCCGTGCAAAACGCCAAATACGAACCGCTACTGAAGAACAAGGGCGTCTCTAGCAACGATGCTATTACCCCTGAGACGTCTCTGACACCGTACACGCTATACCACTTCATTGCGCCTCCATCATCCCGCTTCCTCGCCACAAGAGATGTCGCCTTTACCGGTATCTTGATGAACTTTACCGTGTCCATGATTGCGCACGCACAGTCCCTGTGGATCAACGCCTACTTTGACGACAAGATTCCCTCGCTACCTCGCGAGCCGACACCTGACGCTCTCACCAAATTCCAGCACGAGGCAGTGCTACACAGCCGATTCTGCAAGTGGCGATATCCGGCTGGTTACGGACACAAGTTCCCAGACTTTGTGTTTGACGCAGTGCCGTACCTGGACCTGCTTCTGGGTGACATGGAACTCCCCATCTACCGCAAGAATGGTATGGCGGCAGAGGCAACTGATCCGTATGGTCCAGAGGACTACCGGACATTGGTGGATGAGTGGAAGGAGAAGCAGGCTAAGACAGAGGCTTGAGCTGAGGTGAAGATGTAATATCCGAGTGGCTATCGGAATGTTGTACGAGATACCTATGGTCGACGAAGATGCCTAGCCCTTTTCTATTATTCAATTGCATTTACTGCGTTGTTGACGGGGTTTAGGCCTTAATCGTGTTGATCTCTAAGACCTTTCAACCTATTGAGAGGCATGGTTCTTTTGCGATATAGAAACACCACGTGCTATGATGCCTAACAACCCATGTATCATAGATATTTAAATACTAACACAAAAGATGATTTCGCATGTCTAAACTCCCATATCCTCTGCGAATCCCATATTCTGCCTGACACCTTTTAGGCAGCCGCCAGGCCTTGAACTCCAGGGTGGAACCCCTAGCGCTCCAACTTGCAGGGTTAACCAGACTCATATAAGTCATCTTACTCTTCAACGCCAATATCCTTTTTCACCTCATATCTCATCCCTTTTATTGTCTAAACTCTTTTACTCTTCACCATGACTCAAGACGTTCAAATGACAACGGGTTCTACGCGCCAGACGCGGAGTTCAACTCGTCGTCAACAACTCACGCCACCAACCACCACTGCAAACCCGGAGCATATACCAGATACTTCCTCTGACAAACCGCCCATTGAATGGCTTTCTTCGGTTCTTACACACTCTACCCGTGTTTTACGCAACCAGCGTGATCCCGTTATGGTCAAGCGCACCTGGCTCTCCTCCCACACTGTGCCTCTCCCTCAAGGGACAGCGACTTATACCCTCAACCCCGTGGACGCAACCTTTATCTTTGCCCAAGAACAAGCTGGTACTGCCGTCTGTATATCACCGGATGGCGTTCTCCTAACTTGTTCACATTGCGTCGCCGAGTCCGCCTCAGAACTCACGCAAAACTCCAACCATATGCTCCTCTCCTCCAAAGGCGCCATAGTATCAGCTCGAGTAATGGCCTGGGATCCAACACGAGATCTCGCCCTCCTCATGATCACAGAAGCCGAACTTCCCCATAGACCATTCCCCTACGTGCATCTCGCCGCGGGTCCCCCAAAGGCACATACTCGGCTCATTTGTGTGGGTCACCCAGGTTCTGAAGACCTCGAGGCAGAGCGTCGAGGCGTGCCGACAGAGTATGACACACTAGTCCTCAGCGAGGGCAAATTCCACGGTCTAGCCGCAGGCCAGGATCCGCAAAATAATAGTGATATGGGAGCTCTGAAGCACTCGTGCTGGACGTACTGGGGACACAGCGGCGCGGGACTGTTTGACAGGAGGACTGGAGCGTTGGTGGGACTTCACTCGAGTTGGGATGAAGACACAGGTATGAGGAGGGGGGTTCCTTTTGAAGCTGTCGAGGCCTTTCTTGAGGAGTTTGATGGGAGGGGAGGTCAAGGTATGGGTGAAGGATGGAAGTGGTTTGTAAGGGAAGAGAGTTGAGGGAACAGGTGTACAACAGCGTGTAGTTGGTAGTAGGGTTGGAATAGTTCGAGCGAACTACCATGTACGATGAGACAGACATCAACACCTGTATCAACCTCGTCATCAGATAATGGCTCTGTATGTATCTACGTAGACATGAGTATGTCTGCCTCCAGTTCAACAACACTAACAGCAACAACAGCAGCATCCAACTTGTGAACCGCCAACTCCAAATAGTCAACATGCCTGCCTGCCTGCCTATGCCTTCCTCCATGCATCCTTTCCTTATCTGCTTTCTGCAATGCTCGTCCAAACATACAATTCCCTAAAAAGATTCCAACACTTTTGCTTCTCTCTCGATTAACAACCCCTTCCTCCCTGTTGGTGATGAATTAAGTTACATATCCTCCCCCCAATGATAAAAGAGGCGCCGACGTGCGTTGGCCGCCATTTGTTGTTGCTGCAGAACGACCGTCAAAAAACCCCTGCCGACTTTTCAAACGCCGTAACCCGCAATGTCCCGATGATGAGCTGGTGAATACAGTACATGCTGTAGGTGGATGGACGGGACGAGACTTGTTTCGGTCCCCGTCTCCCCGTCCTTCTCCACTGAGCAACGGGGACATGCTCTCTGAGGAACCCCTCGAGATCCCTTGAACCATCGAGGTAGAGAGACCTTGTGGGGAAGTCATCAAGCCCCGGTGCTCGTATACGACCTTCAACCCCTGTCGTCGAGTCCCGCCAGAAACTCAGCTTCAGTCCTGTTGGGACCTGAACCTCAACCTCTTCCATGTCAACCCTGCTCTTCAAACAAAACCTCCTCTTTTAATCGCCGAACCATGTCCAAGATGTACTTCAGCTCATGCCAAATCAGGTTGGCCAAAACGGCTTCTACCGCCCTGCCCCATAAATAGTCTGTCGTTTGTGTTTCAGGTTCGGCAACTCAGCTCAGCTCAGCCCAGCCCAGAGGGATGCTGACCCCACTGAAACAAACATCGTCAAACCCGACGTCATGCAGAACGACGGCTCCAGCTGGGTCAGTCTGCCGAGTCTTGCTTGGCCGGTCTGTCCCACTCCCAGCCCAGTCCAGCCCAGCTAAACATAGACGCATGCCCCAGCACCAGGCCAGGCGCAGACAGCCTTGTCGTTGTAGCTTGGCTCGTGTCGCCCCTGCAGCCCTGACGTGCAGCTTGCCTGTCCGCAACGGACCTCAGAGAGAGACTTGGTTTCGGTAGCCGCCTGCCCCGCCTGACACCACCATCTTCGACGTCGCAGAAGTCCTCAGAGCATGACCCAACAGTTCGCAGATCGACAGTTTAGATAATGCCCCCTGGGGGGTCGTACCCTGTTGCTGCCCCTCTTGAAGCGTTGCCCAAGCCTGCACTTCCTGGTTCTCCGTCCACCGGCGCCGTTGTTGTCTTCCGTAGCATAAACATGGGTTTCTTGCCTTCCTTATCCAGCTGTTTGAACAGGATCAAGGGTTTCTCCTCCAGCCCAAGGCAGCGTTCCTGATCTCCATAGACAATGTATAGAGCATACTGATCCCAAGGAGCATTGATCTGATATTTCTTGAGCGCTGCCGGAAGAACTTTGTAGCATGGATCTTCCATGCTAACGCGGAACGACTTGAATATCTCAACCGAGGCGTTGCTTTGGCTGGGCGTATCGGGTACCGGGGTTTCTCGTCTTCGGGGAGCTCCTTGAGGAGCCTTATCGCGGGAAGTATATACAGCATTGGCATGGCCGTCATCGTTAAAGGTGGTTCGTGTCGAAGGTGTCGGGGCGTCTCCTCGGTAGGATCGAGACCCAAGAGTAGTGCCGGACATGTGGTTCTGAGGAGACGTCGGAGATGGCATGTTGGGTGAGGGATACGAAGGGGACGATGCGCTCTGACCTCCTCCGTTCATAGCTGCAAGGTGTGAAGACGATAGGACGGCCCGCTCCGCGGCGTTTGCAGGATCCAATGTCGTCTCGGCTATTGACCTCTCGTGCGTGGGCTGGGTAGGCGAAGAGTTCTTGGGCGTTGCCCCGATCATGATCTTGCGGGTCGAGTATTGTCGCTTGACGGCACTTCCCGGTTGACTCGGGCCTGGGGGTGGTGTCGGCGCTGGGGGTGAGAGGGTCGCCTCATAGGCGTAGGCGGCCTGGTTGTTGCCGCTCAGGTTGGGAAGTGGTTGCTGGGCATCCTTGACCAGGCGCAAGGCGGGGAGCATGTCCTCCCGCAGCCGCCTGAAGTCTTCGGTGATTCGTCGCAGGTCCTGCTCGAGGAGGATCATGCGTTCATCGCGCAGCCGGAACTGTTCGACTAGGTGTTTGATGTCCTTGAGCGTCGCAGTTGCATATTGCGCTTCGGCGTCGGCAGCTACAGGGATTCCCGGTTAGGATCACGTCAGTCCACTCGAGAGGGGGAGGTAACATACACAGGGGTAGGTAGTGGTCGCTCTCAATGGGCACGTCTTGAGCCTTTTTCACGTCGTAGACGCTCTTGAGGATGGTCAGGCGATGACCTACACTAGCAATGCCCATGCTCTTGAGGTCATCATGCTGTAGCGCAACAAGGGCCTCGCCAACAATCTCATTTTCTACACAAAGTGTCAGCTGCTGTTGTGTCCTTTTCAATGTCTGCAGGGCCTCGAGCCGAACAAGTGGCATTGGCCATGCTTCGTGGGGAACGCACCTATAAAGCGATCTGCGTACTGTTGGAGGCCAATTGTGCCGATGAAATCAGCACACTCATCCACGGTCCACTCGGTGATGATGGTCTCTGGGAGGCGGTCGGCACTGCTGCGGTGGCCGTAGGTGGTGGGAGTGTGCTCAGCCGACGTAGAGAGCTCCGAATCTATGGGCGAGGCCTCGGAGTTGGTGATGGGAGAGTGGTCGCCCATGCTTCGCTCGTACTCGTCATCGGCGTCGGACTCGGCGTAAGCTGTGCCACCGTCGAAGCTCATCATCTTGACGACCAAGGGGGAGCAGGCGGCAGTAGCAGAGGTGGAGGCTTAGATCGGGTGACGATGGTGGTGGTGATGCCGCAAACGGCAGACAGGACCGCTAGGTCGGGCACCGTCGGATCGATAGGCAGTAGGGGAGGCTGGTGAGGGTCGACCGGCGGGTTGTCTGTAATCTCGCGAGCCTCTCATCCAGGCCGTGACCGTGACCGAGGACAAGATAGAACAGAGGAGAAAAAAATCCGGGGCAGGACCAGAAGGAGGGGAAGATGTCGGTCGTGGGCAGCGGGCGCGGCTCGAGGACGATTGGACGTGAGAGAAGCAAATCGAACGGCGACAACGGCGAATGGGCTGAGGAAACCTAGGGACGCCAGCGACTAAAAAAGGCGTCAAGGCGGTAAAGTCGAGTCGAGTCGAGCCAGCCCCAACAGAAGGAAACAGACCCAGGCCAGCAAGAGAAAATAAAAAGAAGACGACACCCGGTAAGGAGAAGGACAAGGAGGAGGAGAGTGCAGTGCAGCCGCTGATGATGATGCGGGTGTTGTCCAAGGTCGTGGTCTTGGTCTGGGTCTTGGTCGTCGGGAAGCGCTTGGGGTGGGAGAGAAGAGGAGGTCCTACCCAAGTTGGGAAAGCCTCGATGGCTGGCCAATGGGGGCTAGGCACCTCTGGCAGGTACACTGTACATGTGGACAAGGCACGTCGGAGGACCATCCGCACCACACACAAAAGTACACCAGTACCTGGGTCGTGGCTTAGCTGTCGCCCGGTGGAGATGGCGGCCGGCCTTGGGAGGGACCCAGCGGGGACTGAGGGCGACTGATCCTCCACTGAGAGCCCGCGTCGACTCCACTGACAGCAACCCCCCTGCGCCGCCATCCACTGGATATGGGCCCCCGGCCGCCGCGCTGCAGCCCGTCTGCTGCACCTGCTGTACCTATAGCTGCCCGGGCAGCTGTGGATAATACGACATCCATCTCACCATCACCAGCCCAACCAGTTAACTTGGACCCTTGGACGATGCTGATGGCCTGGGGTTGACCAAGAGTATGTATTTTTGGCGAGCTGCGGCTCTAGTTCAACTGCACGTCGCTCAAGACTCCGCGGCTACCAACCATCCACCTCCAACACACAAAAGTTGACAGCATCAATGACATGATCTCGTTCACCGAGATCTACACACCAGGGGCACACTCTATACGTCGAGGCCTCATATGAGAGCAATCTCTTCACCGAGAGCCATGGCCTTATCTGCCTGAGTAAGCCGAATCTTACTACACGAGAAGAGAGTGCCATCCAATGGATGAACCGAAATATCAACTCATCTCAAGCCTACATATTAACCAGAAGGATATATTATTTCCAAGAGTCCTTCCTCATCCGGTCAATGCAGACTATATATCTCTTCGGCGTTAATTAATAGCAAACATGTGAAAACAGAATCTTAATTTTAATCACGTCCATGTCGCGAATTGGAGACTTGATAGACGAGATTAAGATCCTGCCATCACTTACGGAATCGCCGCCGAGATCCTCCACCTGCTCTCTCTTTTCTCCAGAAAGGGCAAAACACAAAAAGACCAGATGGAAGAATTGTGAAGCAAAAGTTGAGGTTGCTAGGCCAACATTCTTGTCGGTAGATACGGGTCTACAGCGGGGAAGAGAGCTCGGTATGCTTCTTCGACATGGGTTTCGGTCATGGCACGCTCAGATTACCCAAAAGAACTCAAATTCTGACCACGTTCAACTTAGCCAGACGAAATTCCAACTGCCAGCTTCCATGAGCCCTAGGTACCATGTTCTGCGGACTAATATGTGGAGCACAAGAAGCCGAACTGCCCGTTTACTCACAGCCAGACGTCCCGGATACTCGGTTGGTGTTGACAACATGACACATATTCGGAATCATTACCTCACCAAGGCCTCATGTTCTTTCATAGTTCTGTTTATTCAATTACTAGAGCCAAGGTTATGTTGGTCCAGCACTATATACTTCATCGACCCAATAATTATTCTATATGCCAGACACGGTGGCTTTCAACTCCTCCAACGGTCGTTAATGGATCACTGCTCATG